TTAAAACCTTTTTTTTTGTGCCCCCCCCCCCCCCCACATTACAGACATTAATAAGTTTAAAATTGTGCTAATTAGAAGCTTGACTAATTAGGTTGCTATTTCTTCCTTTTCTAATTACAGCCTACACGAAAAAAAAGCAATGCTTGCCAACTACAGGCCACAGTAACTAGCTTACGGTACCATTACAGACCATAGAAACTAGTCTCTGCCATTGTTAAATATATGAGCTAACAATTAACACTCCATTACAGACATAAGCAAATAGACAATGACCTAATTATAGGTTTTGGAAACCAGGGTAGATTTTTCAGATGAACTATTTTGAATTAATGTAGTAAGCCGAAGGGATATATGTGAGTTCCACACTTTAGTCCTAAGGGGGCTGCGCTAGCAAGTTTTCTCGTATAAATTTCAATAGCGTTCTTGGTATGCATCTGTTCGGTGGTGAATTTTCTACTCTGGAAGCATTCAATACAACATCACATACAAAATTTGATATAAAATGTCGCTGCTGCGCATGCGTCGAATTAAGTTTGTTTAAAAATCGCACTGATATCAAATATTTAAAGTGTGAAACTGAGAGAGCGAATTTTGATTCACTTCCTGCTGCATTATTAACTGTATTTCAGGTATGATACAATACTAATCTGTAGGATTTGTTGTTCATTTTCCCATGCATAAAACTAATTTATATGATATAAAATAGATACTAACCCAAGAAGATTGGAATGAAGTACTTTATAATGGCATGGAAAAGACAAGTCCATGGTCAGCATTATATTTTATTGGACTTTTGATAATTTGCTATTATGTATTAGTTAATTTACTTGTTGCTATTTTTGTTGAAAGTTTTTCAAATGAAGTAAATTAGACGTCTGTTTTTACTTTTGCTTTATTGTTTTCGTTTTGTTTAGGGAGAAGGTGAACCTGCAAGTAGTAATAATAATAATAATAATAATAATGCTAGCTTACACGCAGCGCACAAATGTGTAGTAAGAAATATAAACGAATGAAATTTCCATAAAATATTTATCTTTAGTTACAACAATCGATCACAACTGATATTCAAGTACTTGATAAATTCGATGAGTCGGAAAGTATTAAACTTAGTAATGAAGAGGAACGAGCTCTAAATGTTGATACCATACATCGTACAAATTCTCATCAAGCATTTCCACCATCGTCATCATCAACAGGACATTTTATTGTTCATGAAGGAAACTTAATTGAACAAGAGCCGAATAATATAACAAATCCATGTTTAAATTCAGTGGTTAAACGCCGATCGACAGTCGATAATTCATCATATTCATTTGATCGAAAACAACGAAATAATAGTACTCATACTGAATCTAATACGAGTAATAGTATACAACTTGCTATTGGCACTGAACAACCGATAAATGATCAAAAGGATGCCCAATTACATGAACCAACTGAGTGTAATACACAGCTGAAACAAAAAACAGAGCAATCAAAAGTAAATATTGATTTTAATTTCAAATCGATTTCGAAGTCAATAGTCTCTTGAAAAAGATTCATTCATTAGTAACGGATATTCCATAAAGAACAACCAACTTTTGTTTTCTGTCTTTGAAGCACTTGATAATCGTCTTAGGATGTGATATCTACTCGAGTCAGAAATTTTTTCAGAATTAAAATTAAGAAGAAATATATATATATATATATATGTATGTATTTTCTTCTGCTCTTTACATACATTCTATTTTAGGCAATTCCATCATGTTTAAATCGACTTTGTGGGAGACGAATATCAGAATATTTCATGAAACGTGAAAACTATGCACTTTATCTATTTTCCCCTTCGAATAGGTAAAGTTTTGTTTTAAAAATCATTCGCATACGCAAAATGCGTGATTCTGTTTGCTTTGATAGACTACGCACATTATTTCAACAATTAATACTAAAAAAATCATTTGATTATTTGATTCTTTTCGTCATTGCTCTCAATTGTATTACGCTCGCCATGGAACGTCCATCGATTTCTCCTAGCGGTTTCGTATGTAGTGAATTGGTTGTCATTTTGAAGTTAAAAATTAAAAATTATAATCATTGTAGGAACGACAATTTTTGAATCTTAGCAGTTATATATTTACAGTTATTTTTACGGTTGAAATGATAATAAAAGTAATCGCTAGTGGACTTCTTTTTGGGTCCAATACATATTTACATACCGGCTGGAATGCTTTGGATGGTTTTATTGTGATTGTTTCAGTTGTTGATGTTGTTGCAATGCATCGACCTATGATTACGCCATCGGCAGAGTCGGATGCAGCGTCACATATTCTAAGTATGTTAAGAGTCTTTCGTTTGTTACGGGCACTACGACCACTCACAGGTTTGAAAATATTTTTTTCTTTTCTTTTAATTCAATTTTCAATTTTCAATTCTATTATTTTAGTTATCCATCGAGCGCCAGGTCTTCAACTTGTTGTTCGAACTTTAATTTTATCATTGAAACCAATAGGTTATGTTGTTATTATTTGCTGTATATTCTTTATCATCTTCGGCATTCTTGGTGTTCAGGTAGGCGACATAAATTATTTCTCTTGATAATGTTATGCATGAAGACAAAAAAAAATGATTTTTTGACTCTTAAGAATAAAGTTCAGTACTCATCTGGATTTTATCGAAAATCTAGTCACAAGCTTTACAGTAAATATATTTTGAGATTTATTAAGTTTCAATTCCGAATATAGTGAAAAAATGATCTTTCATGCGCATTTCATATTCCAGAGAGAGAGAGAGAGAGAGTGGGAGGCAGAAATAAGAGAGCATTTTTTGCATCTTCGTTTTGAATTCTTCAACAAAATATTATAACACTTTTCCCTTCGTTCGAGAAAAATAACTCCATAAAGTACAGATAAAGGAGCGGATAGGATAGGATTAATTTTGATGAATGCTTTCAAAACAATTAAGGTGCCATATTGAATCATTTAGGATTTTAGTGAAGATTTCGAACTTTTTAAGGTTTTGGATTTTGGTACCATTTTCGGAGCCTTTTTCAGAGAGTGGTACCCAACGGTAATCTCCCGATCATTTATGCTTGAATTGGTTCAACAACTTGCTACCAAAGTTCTGCTCAAAGCTTCGCCTAGATATTCGCCTTATTTTGGTAGTTCGATGACACACAGGATCTTAGCACTTGATAGTTGCTCAATTAACCTTCTATTCCATAGCTACAGTTAATACTCATGTACATATCTAATCTTCCGTAAAATCAATGATAGTTTGTAGTTTCACATCTCTCAATAGTCGGTACTAGGTCAATTCGTCGCGAGACAATTCATCGCGGACAATTCGTCGCGTGGATAATTCATCGCAAGACAATTGGTCGCAATGTAACTTAATGAAAGTGGATATGTCGTGTTGCTTGATGTAATTGAATCAAGTAGACTATGTTCAATTAATTGAATAAGCCCACGCATTTCGTAGACTGAGTTATGAATCTCAAGGAAAAAATAAATAATCTAATAGGACTTTGGGAAAATCAGAAAAAACCCATTAATTTTAAAATAAATATAAAATAATTCTCCTCAGTAACAGAAGACATTTCTTGTCACTATTCATACAATTATTTATATCAATTATTCTACATTATCATTAGTCTCCATTAATTAAATTAGAATAAACATGCACGCGACGAATTGTCCAGTTACCCAATAGTCGTATAAGAAATCTTTTACTTCTGACAAATGCAGTGAAACAACATGTTTTACATGCGTTTCAAAAATTTTCAATGTCATCATATGTTTAAATGCTTTATTTCAGCTCTTTAAAGGTAAATTCTACTTCTGTGAAGGGTCTCTCGCTGATAGTGTAGAAACCAAACAACAATGTGAATCAATGCCCGATCATCGATGGCAAAATCAAAAATACAATTTTGATAATTTGGGTCAAGTATGCAATATAAATATATAATTTTCGTTAAGATAATTCCAAACTTAATTTAGGCTGTACTTACACTATTTGTCCTTGCATCGAAGGATGGTTGGGTAGAAATTATGTATAATGCTATTGATGCAGTCGATGTTGATGTGCAACCGACAAGGAATTATAGTGAAGCAAAATTAATTTATTTTGTATCATTCATTTTAATTGTTAGTTTTTTCGTTGTTAATATGTTCGTTGGTGTCATTATTGAGAATTTTCAAAACTGTCGAGCTCAGCAAGAGCTTGAAGCAGCAGGTCGAGATCAAGAAAAATATGAAAAAATCCTTGAATGCAGACGGAGTCTTTTGAGGGATTTATCATATTATTCAAAAATGTCACGATGGCGCAAACGTTTATATGATATATGCATGGCTAAATATTTCGATTTAACCATTGCTGGTATAATTGGTTTAAATGTTGTTACAATGTCACTTGAACATTATTCCATGCCACTTGTGAGAGGAAATAACTGAGTGATTCATTTTTTATATTTTATTACAAAATTTTGCTTTTAGGAATGGGTGAAGTTTCTTGAATATTGTAATTATGTGTTTACGGTTATATTCTTACTTGAACTTATTTGGAAAATTATTGCATTTGGGCCAGTACATTACTTCAGAGAAAAGTAAGAAAAACATTAGTTGAGAGATTCCTTTTTTCATTTAATTTTTGTTTTCAAGATGGAATCAGTTGGATTCACTTATTGTACTTGTATCGATAGCTAGCATCATAATCGAACATGTATCACATGGACACATTCCAATAAATCCTACACTTATTCGCGTGGTCAGAATATTGAGAATTGCGCGAGGTAAATCAACAGAATAAATCTAATAAGTTATCTTTTTTTCTTTTCTATTTTAGTACTCAAACTACTGAAAATGGCCAAAGGTATTCAAGCTTTATTAGATACTATCATGGAAGCTCTTCCACAAGTTGGAAATTTAGTAAATCGAATTTTTTTGTTGTTGTTTTGTTTTGAAGAACTTTTTTCTTATTCTTTGAAATTAGAGTCTGCTATTCCTTCTTATCTTTTTTATCTTTGCTACACTTGGTGTTGAGCTATTCGGAAAATTAGAATGTAGTGAAGAGCAACCATGTACTGGTCTTAATCAGCATGCGCATTTTAAAAATTTCGGCATAGCACTTCTTACACTTTTTCGTGTTGCAACCGGTGATAATTGGAATGGTATAATGAAAGTAAGCGATTGAAGAAAATGAACAGTTCATTTTTTTGTAATCATAAGTATTATTTTAAAGGACACTTTACGTCAAGACGATTCACATTCTACTGGCAGAAACCACTTGATGATAATAATATCACCTATTTATTTTGTTATTTTTGTTCTGATGACTCAATTTGTACTTCTCAACATTGTTGTCGCTGTACTCATGAAAAAACTTGAAGTTCGTATTTAATACGAAGACATAATTGTTTCATGCTTTTCTTATTGTATTTAATTAGGATTCAAATGGAATGATAGAGCAAGATGCTACGCTGGGTGAAGAAATGGAACAACTGTATCAAGTTGATGTACAGCACGGGAATAATGCTGAACAATCCTTACTAGACATGAACGGTCCACACGTAAAAGAGAAAGTAATAATTACAAATTTATAAAAAATTGTTTTTTTAAATAAATAATTTTATTTTTCTTGGCTGCTGAGATTAAAATTAGTAAAAAAGATATTTTCTTGAATATCATCAATTAAATGAACAGCACAGAATATATGACTCTATTGAACAGTTTTAGAGATTGACTTTTTGTTAGTTTTGAGTCTAATTCTTTTGCCCATACAAAGAGTAGAGCTGAGTCCTATGTAGAATTTAGTGCTCATTAACATATTATGAAGCTATAGATAGAAACCATATTTTTTTTCTTGGAGATATAACTTCTCAAGAGAGTGTAAATGTCGATGTGGACACCGCTAGGCTCGTGTTCTACTATTCTACACCTACACGTAATGAATGGCAACCAGAGGATGATAAATCAATTTCGGAACTAGACGAAATTCCGTATAATTCCGGCTTTTTTTGCTTGTAGTGATTAACAGAATTCCGGAAGTGTGTTCGCAGTGGTAAATGGGATTGCAGGAATACGATGTATTCTCTATCTTTATTGTGTGTCGCGATTAATGTTTATTTATATTAAAACATAAAATACGAAGAGAAATAAATTCAGCTTAGAAATATTGTAACCAAAATGGCATTTTCTTGTGTTCAGAAGCATAATCATTATCCGCTTGATGTGCAATTTGTCATCAAGTGGCCATCACCTCCGAAGTATGAACATGCCATGAATTTTATATGTCATTGCTCTATGCATCGCATCATGTCACAAGGATTGAGGGGAAACCTGCCTTGATAGCTCGATGTACAAGCACTTCCGGTGCAACATTTACAAGCACATGTACCACCATTGATTGATTGCGCAAAGCAAATGAGATTGATCATGCTTACAAGAATCAATCTAATTATTTTATTCATAACTGAAATTCACTAATTGAAAAAGACATTTGTTTGAAAACAAGACAAAAAATACTTTACTTGCTTCAAGATAATCAAGGAGAAGGTAGCTAATAGGAGCTTTTTTCCGTTTGAAATGATATTTTTTCGTTTTTTAATTGCTTCAATTACATCATGAGAAATTTATATCATTTTTGAAGCTTGTTAAATCCTTTATTTGACAAAAGATAAATCAGCCATTATCTATATCGTTCTCGTGTAACGCTATGAGATATCGTCAGTATCTCTTCAAATACTTACTGGTTCTGTTGTTGTAATGACACAGGTATCGAACGACGAAGTTTGCTTTACACTTTCCATTTTTATTTTGAAAATAATTCTCAACGATCGTATAAGATCAACGTTTCAGATATCATTGCACGATTAACAACAGAAACGGACAACTTCAATTATATATCACTCAAGCTACATCTGTTTTTTTAAAGCTCGTCTTCAACTTCAATTCCAACTATATTAATGTGCGTTTCAACTCCATCTGCAACTGTACCTTTAAAAAGACATAATATGGTCTATCATACAAAGACGACTATCAACATATAGAGAGATCTTGATGGATCTTCTCACAATATTTTTGTATCGCATCCTATTATCTCCTGAGACATTGGCAGTCTGAACGAGAGAGATGATGATGGGAATAAAAAATTAATTGACTTTAAAAAGATCTATAAAGCTATCTTTCTTCTAAAATTTCTTGAAGAATGAAGTAATTTTGATATACAATTGAGAGAGCAAATATAATAAAGAACCGCACTTGATCTGAATTTTTCTATATGATTTAAAAATCCTTCGTTTATTATTTGATCATTTTCATACAGATAGAAAATTCCTTTTTATGTATTTCTGATAAGACCAAAGTTCGTACATTTTTTAAGTGTATTTCATATCATATTAAATAACGCATTCAATCTTCTTTATCGCGTTATTTTAAAAATTTGCTTCACTGTTACTCCTTTTGATTGATCTACACAAGAAATGAAATTCTTACTGATTGCTACATTCGTTATTAAGTTTTTTCTAAGGCCATATATTTAGTTATTAACAATCACTCATTCGTATTTACATTCTTAGCTATAATTACTAGTTTCTCATGGACCGTTAATGGTTTAGACTGACGAAATAAACGCCAAACATTTAAAATTAGCTGTTATCAATGCGATAGCAATTCACAGCCTCAATGTGGTGATAATTTTAATGCAACAGGAGTACCGATCACCCCACAATTTACTTCTAATGCATTGTGTTATGTAAGTTTTCTTGTCTTTCTACTTTTACTGTTCATCTACGAAAAAAAGAACTATTCGAAAAATTGTGGTAAGCAACGGTAAATAAAACCGTGGTATCGAGTGGTATTTGCACATGCTGGGAGTCGGACCATTTATGCGTTTCTCTAAAACCACTCAAAACCATGGTTAATAGATGTCGTCCAAATGAAATCGCGGTTTTCTCAAAAATATTTTCCCGTGAGCAGAAGCGCTAGATAAGCCATTAAAAAATTCAGTTGATGATCCAACATTGCTTTGAGAAATATAATGTAGAAAAACCTATTTCACAGTATCATTTTCACGTTTGTGAGAACACACTACAATCTGAACATTGTTACTTTTAGAAAGAAAAACGGACAGCCCAGGAGAATGATTCCGATATGCGATTCGTATCGGAATCTTATCGGATATAGTATGTGATTGTGCGAATTGATCTCAGATCTCAGGAACTACGATTTTTTGTCAGATTTTCGTATGATCGTGCAAGACCATATAAGATTAGATGCAAGATCTTATCAGATCTTACAATATGATTGCTCGACCTGGGCAGAGTTCGATGAATCAATTTTCGAAGAAGAAAAGGGCAACGACAGATCAGGTATGATCATACATGACCAGACATGATCTGCATTACGAACTATTGTATACTTTTTTTGTTTAGGAATCTTATTTGATTTGATAGGGTCTGACAAGAATCAAATCATGTATGCTTTTTAAGCTTAGAATCTTGTAAGATTTATGTGGGTATCTTTCATTCTGGATCTGATGAAATCGTTCGAAAAATGAACTAGTCACATACAGTCTGATTTTATCATAAGATCAGATAGAAAATCTTGTGTGTCCAAGATCTGACAAGGCCTTGTATGATCTGTTGTCAGATTTTTTGACCTGGGACCATATGCTTATTCATTGACCAGGTCGAAGAATCTGACACAAGATCTTGGAATATGTGCGAAGTCTCGCAAGAATCTGACAAAAAATCGTAGTCTCTGAGATCTTAGATCAAGTCTCACAATCAGATTCTTGAAAGATCGTACAAATTGATAAAATCTTTCAAGAATCAGATTCTGCGACTTGATCTAAGATCTCAAAGACTACGATTTGTGTACGATTTTTTGTCGGATCTTATACGATCATATAAGATCAGATGCAGAATTTTATCAGATCTTAACATCTGATTGTTTACCCTGAGTGGTGATTAAGAAAAAAAATTTCCGTCGGGTTCGCTAGTAGATCCGTGACCAGGAATCTGATCTGATTCTGTCGGTTTGTCGGATCGCATGAGATCCGATAAGATTCGTTGTCGGATTCATTCACCTGGGAGGTGAAGAAAATGGTATTACACGCGGTGGTTCATCCGTAGGTGGCGGAGTTTGCGAAGATCAAATAGATGCATGTACACAAACTAGTGCTCCAGGGCAGAACAGTATCATAGATATAACAGTCTGCTGTTGTAGTACGAATTTGTGTAATGAAGGAGGATTTTCATCAAATAGCGATTCTCATTTTTCTAAAATGAATACTGGTTTATTATTCATAATGCCACTAGTTGGGGCACTAGCAGTAAGATTGGTATAAATTTGTCACAAAGAGCGAAGTGTGAAATGGTAGGGCCAAGACTGCACACATGCATATGAACACTTTTGCTATGCTTCAATGAAATTTGTTTTACTCTTGAATTTTTCATTGTTTCTGAATAAAGAAACTAACTGGTAATCACACATGTCAGGCTTGGAAGTGTACGAAGATGGTAGCTGATTTCTCAACAACTGGACAGATTCATCTTGTGTTGTTGCTGGCTGTTTTATCATAATCTCAGCGTGATATACGAAATGTAAACAATTTGAAATACACATCTTCGATTTTGAATTTCTATGCAAAATGTATGACACTATATGACTAATGGCGAACAGCTCATTGCAACAGATTATTCTTTATCATGCCATGGATTGAAACTGTATCGTGAAGAGGAGGGGCACTTTAACTTTTAAAGTAAAGTTAAAGTGCCACGCCTAATCGTGAATCAAATTCACACATTGAAACACTTTTAAATTCAGATAATGATATTGACAAGCGTACTGCAGGTAAATGATTGACAATGTGGGTGTTTGTGTGAGGTATGGATACGGAATTCGATGTAATAAATACTCTCACTCACACCCGCACCCCGAAAATTAGACATCTATGTGTAAAACTTCGTTCTAATTTTTAACCCATCCGGGGAACTTATTCGACTAATCGAAAACTCCGTGTATTATGCATAGGATTAATATAATGATATCTTCTGACGATAAATTCGTTCAACCACTTTTAAATCGAATGTTGAATTTCGAAAAACTAGTTTTGCATTGTATCGTCCTAAGTTATAAATTATTTATTAATAGTAATCAATTGACGATGAATACTATTAACTATCTACCACGATTAAAAAATTTTATATTTAATATTCGTTCAATTATTAGAATTGAAAATCAAATTGTTTTTCGTGTTAATTATTTTTCATATCAAAATCAAGGTCAATGTCATATGTATCGTTATCCGTTTACAATGAGACGTCTTTTTTTAAGATGAATTTTTTCTTCGAATTGCTCAATCGTATAACATATTCATTGCATTTGAAATAAACTCCTATCCGATATTTTTCTATCCATTCTGAATTTCTTACATTCGATAAACATTTCATTTGAAAGTTGATTTCCCCTGTCATCAAAATACGACTAAACAGTAAAAATACTTCAGTATCTCTTGATTCATGTACGTATCAAAGGACTTTTTTTTATGATGATATGCGGTAAGGGATGTCAGAAATTAGTTTGATACATGTGTTTCTGGTAATCTTCATTAGGAATTTAAGAAAAATAATTTGATACACAAGACTTTTCTAGTATAGAAAATATAGAAAAAATTAAGGTATAGCCTATTGAAACTACTGAGAAAATATCCGTTTCAGATAACATTAGAGAGTTATTATTCAAGATGAATATTTCGAATGTGTAAAGAAGAAAATTCAAGTAAAGAAGTAAATTTCATGAATCGATTTAAATAGAATTTAATTAAAAACATACTAAACAAAATTGATGAGATGTCATATTTAGTTATTCTAGTATTGTAATTTCTGTGTAAATCTGCTTACTAAGTGAGACCTGAGAATTTCTGTTAATTCTACGAAATTTCGGCATTGTACACTTTCACATATTGAAAACGACCCTTACTTTACATTTTATTGTAGATTTTCATTGGAAACACTGTTTATAACTAATAGAGTTTCTTCACATTTTTTGGCGTTACCCATTAGAATTATCTATCAGGTCCTGGATTACAAATTTTATATTCACTTCGCAATGTATGTCCACGACTGAATATGATCATTGATACATATTATTTGGCACCGCAGCGGCTCTCTCAAAAAATATAGGAATTCCTATATAGGATAGGTCTAAAATATATAGGATCGCCCTCAACTATATAGGAAAAATATAGGATGACAAATTTATTCCAGAAAAAGATTTAGACACCGAAAAATCACTGTAACAGCATTGAAGATGATAATGTGTTGTTTTTGCACGTATATCTAATCAGCTAAATAAAAATATTATTAAGTTTTGAAAAGTAATGGAGCAGCAAGATTTTCTTAAAACATAAAAAAACTAATTTATGTTCGATTTATTTTCACTATTGGACATGCATGCACTTTAGGGTGTGGGCGAGTTTCTGAACAAAATACTCACACCCACACCCACACCTTTTTGGTATTCAGTCTTTTAGAATTTCATAGTAAGCTACATCAAATTTCATCGAAAAATAAGCATCCGTTCAGGAGTTATAACGTTGTGCATTTTTTTCAAATACTGCCAAGATTTTAGCAAAATTTCAAACCGTTATAACTCCTGAATGGATGCTTATTTTTCGATGAAATTTGATGTAGCTTACTATGAAATTCTGAAAGGCGGAATACCAAAAAAGGTTAAAAACATTTGCCGGTTGGGCAAGCAAAAAAATTATTTTGTTTTCGCAAACTACAATCACAAACTTTTGACCACAAAACCTCATTACTTAGCTCCAATATGACCCCTCATAAGTTCCATCTAGGTCTCATGCACTGACGCTGAGATCTAGCATACCCAGAAATTCTGGATAAAACACTGATACAAAGAGAACTAATGCAAAGAGTATACTATATACATTATCTAGATGAACCAATAGGAAATAAGCGCCATACAAATTGTTACTGACAATATTTAAATGATGTGTTGAACACTTATCAGGAGTTTTTTGAATTTTTTTAGAAGAATCTTCAATTTTTTCAAAAAAAAATAGGAATATAGGAAAAAAGCTCAAAATATAGTCTATTATAGGATAAATTTTTAAAATATAGGAAATACAGGATATATAGGACTGCTGTGAAGCCAGCATATTATCGATATAAATTAAGTTTCAATATTATTTAGGGATATGCAATTTTCCTGTTGTTTTAAAATGAATTTAATTTACCAAGAGTTCATTGATAATAGTTTTCAATTAGTTTATAATTTATTAAATACTAAGCGAAGTCAAACTATCATAATGCTTGTTGATATTGAATATTAGCCAGATAGATAGACAAGTGATAAAAGACGTAAAGAAGTTTTGAAGCTTGAACTAACATAAACTCGCAAAAATTGCACGTTAACATGTTTATCCTTCATTTGTTTTTTGAGTAAATATGTATTTATTTCGAACAGAATTATAAGTCTTTATTGATAAAAATTATGAAGGGCCCGGAGAACCCTATTTCAATCTTTTCTTATGTGAGATTCATTCTTGAAAATTGTAACTTATATTTATGAAAACAAATATGCCGCTTCACTACCCGAGCAAGTCATTGAGACATGATCGAAACAGAATCATCCTTTTGAAAGTTAAGTTTAGCAATTCTTCCTGTGTTGAAAGATCCGAGCACTCATTACAAATATTGTTGATCGAGAAAATTTGAAATTCGAAATATCACTATACACATATACTGTGGCGAATTTATACAAAAAAATATCCGCGTCTTTTCAGAGTTGGAGGCGGTGTTAAAAGGCATACTTTTTTTTATAAGTTTATGATAAAAGAAATTGTTCAGGCAGCCTTTGTCAAGAATAAATCCATAGCGAACCTCATATAAATCTCGTTTTGTCTGATTTGACTCTTTTTTTCTTAATTGGAATATACCATAACTGTGTAAAAAAGAATTTTAGATGCTGCATAGAAAACTCGAACTTCAAGTGTTTATTAGAAAATAACCTAAAAACAAAAATTCTCTGAAAAGCGCTTTTTCATTGACGAACTATCACCGCGATGGAAAATTTATGAACTTCTTGTGGTTCAAAATACCTCAATTTTACATTGATCAATTTTTGACATTTTGTTTTTCATGCAATTTGATTAGTGCTCAACATTGAAATGAGGTTAACTTGGCATCAGCTCAATCAAATGTGCTAAAAATGAGGATATCAAATCAAAAACCAAAAATTTATCGAGTGCTTCCATTCCTTGGTGGTCTCGTGGATTCTATCATAAGCAATAGCTTCGAAAAGTCTTTTCATCGCATAAATATCGAAATTGTCTTCATGGAGTGAAAAGAAAATCGTTGATGGGATCTGATACCATAGGCAGATAATTGTAATATTGGTTTCAGATGGTTATATTCTATATTTTACGAAATTGGTTTTATACTCAGATTTTATATGGGTGTTAGTGTGAATTTATCGTAGTACTCTTAAGTCGAATACTGTAGTTATATGAATAGTTTAGTTGCGAAACAAAGAAAATTTACACTTATATACGTCAGAACCTATCATTTATTTTTGATATCTATTTCACTCATCCGAGAATGGTTTGGATGTGGATGTCAGTTGAACAATGAAAGATAACCACGTCCATTTCCTCGCATGCTATTAACTTTTCTGGTAAACAAAACAAAATGAAAATTATTTATCGAATAAATTTCTTTTTTTTTGTAACATTTAACTTTATTGTTGAAGTCAATAGTAGTACTTTAACGAATGTTTACGTGTTTCGATACCCCTTTCAGATCGGGTTTTACAATATGTAGTGGAATTCTGAATCGTATGATAATACAAACACATTTATCTGTACAGGTCTGGCTACTTTCTCTCTATTTTTGATCATTTTCCTTTGCTCCGACCACCGGAACATAGTCGTTCCCTTTATTTAGATCATTTAAGAAAGGTTAGTGTGTCGAATACATACTGTGAATAGAGGAACACAGATAGTACAAAGATGGAAATATAGAGTGAAATTATACGCGCATTGGTAGTATGTTGACTTGTTCTTTTTTCAATATAAATGTATCAGTTACTCAAACGTTGAAGGGAAAATTCAAATGAGCCGGAAGCAGCGTTTGCTGTCCATTTGTATGTGCCGCATAACTTTTTGTTCTCAATGAATCCGTGATAAATAAATTCACCAGGCGCATCGCCATATTTTTCAGTCCATTCTAATTCATTTCCATTGTAGGATCCTGACCAACTATAAAATAAGCATAAGATAACTCGATATTCCTATGATGCTCAATCTATATAGCGGTTGCATAGATGATATAAGTAATGGTATTAACTCTGAGATTCAATCTTACATGTTCAAAGAAGAAAACTTATCTGGAAAATTTTAAGAGTAATAATTATTATATGTCTATATTTTTTGTTTTCTCTATAATTAACTACATAGCACATAAGGAAACACCGAAAAATAATGTTGCACTAATCGCCATAAAAAATATCAGACATTCAGCGTGTGATTTAACTTTATAGTCGATCAGCATTAGAAGTCCTATTCTGTTTAAGAGAAAATTTTAGTCTAGAGTAACAATGTTTATTCAGTAGCTGTCATATCTTCAAAGGGGACTTTGTTCTGATTTTTTACACTTACACTACCGAACTTTCAGTATTGTAATTGGTTCCAGAATCGTAGCAACCGGAAGCCCATAGTCGTCCATTGGTTAATCGTAACATCATGCGAATAATAAGAGTTTTGTTTCCATCATATGAATTAATCGTATGGCCATCAACTCGATACGCTCCATCTAGTGAACTATAACGAAAGCCAATTCTGTATACCCACAAGCAAAATTTTACTTGAGCTATGATGATTCTCTGTCTGGGATTCTATATAGTTATATTATATTATTTAATAAAGGAATATCAAATAGGACTTAATACATAGTCATTATTTTCAATATGCGAAAATTTAGTCTACCGATAGTTTTATCGTGAATTTTTCAAATTTTGTTGAAGTACGTTACATTTTCCCCGTAGTTCTCTGAGATGAATTGAATTGTAATAAAAATGTATCTTGCTCTCGAAAACAAATGGCATCAACAATTTTTTCAATAAAAATCAAATTAGGTTGTTGTGGACTCCTATAAATGTACGAAGAAAACACCAATAGAAGAATTACTCCTGATTTTAATATAAATTCGAAGTAGGTAAGTAGTGCTAATATTTTTAGTATACCTCATAATTATCGTTCTTGCAGTCTTTTATTGTTTCTTTTTCGCTAAACAAATTGAAGAGTTGCACCTTAAAAATACCTTTTAATATCTATATTAAATTGAAAACTCTAGAAAATTCAAATCATAGAAACATTTTTGTTAAAGAAAACAAAACAGAAAAAAAATATTTGTAGATAATATAAAGTAATCGCGCACTAATTTGCTCACAAACCTCGGTTGACATAATCAATATTGAGAACGATTTCTAACAGATATGGACATATTTGTATTATTTACAATTGTTCATAACGTTTATTTATCGCTTTATTTGTAGGAAGTCAGACTTCACTTTTGAGTTCGCAGTTAAATTTCGATTTCTGTCAATCAAAAATAATATTTTACAATTCTTACCACTAGTGTAGGTAAGCAACTGTAATTCATATTTTCTGCCGACCAAACACTGCAGAAAGAAAAAAAAGTGCAAGAATTGACAAAATAAACAGAAAAACTTCGGCGTCAATTCTTTTTTATGGAGGAATATGAATGCATGTTTACTTTGTCCTAGTGACAACTATCGAAAATTTCAACTCTTTATCACCAATGAGCAGCTTACTACAACTCTGCCAAAACAAAAGTTTAAATGTGCGTTTCCTAAATTATCAACCCTATTAACGCATTTTTAATGTTTATCCGGTTAGGTTGTTGACATCGATTAGACGCAGCTCGAGGTTTTTAGTAAATTGCTGCTAAAAATGTATTCTACCTGCAGACAGTGATTATAAAAGAATATTAGTGAGAACGAGCTTCTAGTAATAGCACTAGCGTACCATCGAAATAATTGAAAATTCATCTACACTAATTACTAATTAGATTTAACGAATGGATTCGCAATGTTGTCTCTATGGTATAAACCCTTTCTGCCAATTAGCAAAAGTGTGTTGTCATTGGCGGCGTGTCTCACGATTTTCTACCAATTGGTAGAAATGGCTATGAAACTATAAACTCGAATTTCTAAATTAACTTAAAAAAATAGAATAATTCTCGTAAGAGAACGAGTAATTCACTTTTCAACGGAATACGACTTGGTTGGTGACATAATGTAACGGAAAAATAATTAGGTCGCGTAAATATTCTTCAAATAACTATCGAGATATATAGAATTGCGTATATATCCTGATAGAATGATGGACAACAAAATGTGGATCAGTATCAGCTATATATTTTAGCCACTATGTGTATAATATTAACAACAATTCCACACGATGAGTTTATTCTTGTCCAAAATGAGTTCTGTGTGTTGTCTTTCAATACAACCGAATACAATCGTACGTATTACAGAGCACAACTTTCTTCTAACTTGACTTGTTTAGAACTGAACTCGACTCAACTGCCTTTCTACTGCTCTAATACTATCCAATACTGCTCAATACTCCACATAGAACGCGAGTTTATATACTAGAGAGAGAATAAGGAAAATATAAATCGGAGAGAGAGAGAAACAGAGAGAGAATAAGATACATAGAGACAAAATTTATTGAGAGAGGAGGGGATACGGAGAAAGAAAAATATATCTAGAGAGAAAAGATACAAGCAAAGATTACGTACTGTTCAATGGACGATTATGTGTTGTCATATGCCATGATGAATATTAGTGATGTAAACTTAATTACATCATTGTAGGGATGTGCACTGTCGGTGTAAACACTGAAAAACTGACCACTGAGTACACTGACGGTGCATCCAGTAGAGCACCGACTACACCGACACTGTGTCCAGTGGAGCACCAACGTGCACCAACACGCCGATTTCACTGACACCGACTTCACCGACTACGCTGGGATCACTGAATAGTTCAATCAGTGTTCGCTGAAGTACTGAGGGTCTCTGAAGTTTAGGACACTGAGCCATTGCATCTGCCAAAGTATATATCTATACATCTTTCCCAAAGGTATCAAAATCTTGAAGAATCTATAATTTTAAATAACACAACAAACTTCGATGGATTACATCACTTATTATTTTACTCGAATCCGCAAGTGTGATCATTCAATTCAAAACATTTCAACAATGTATTTCATTATTTTGGCGTACTCGTAGAACTTCTTGTTCTGGAACGAACGTTCAAGAAAAATGCCGATTTATTCATAAATCTAGAAATACTAAACTTTTAATTGAATCAACGTATTTATTCTGAGCAACAAATAGAATCTAAGTTGGATTGTGTAGTTTAGGTCGCATTCATATTGAAATTATTAAATTTAATTTTACATCATTGATTCTGTTGAATTCGCCAACAGACAGTGACAGCTTCATAATGTTTATTTAAAACTACCTAAAATCTATCCGTATCATTACTAAACCCACCTCCCCCACAATAAAAGACCCCCGAGTCTTCTATCATGTACCAGCGTAAAAATTTTTCAGGGGGTCTTTTATTAAGAACCGCATCTTTTCCTAATATTTAATTTAAAAGGTTTTCCAGAAAATTAAGGTGATTTTCAGGATTTCCATCAGGATTTTCAGTGCTTTAAGGGTGTCATTATAATTGTGAACACATTCTCTTGATATTTCCAGCTTAAAATACTAAGAAATTAGGCGTATTTTCATGAAAAAACGCTACTTCAAGTTCGTAATTAGGAGAAAACTAATTAATTAAAGGGGGTATTCTATTATGTCGGACAAACTTTTTCTTCAGGGGTCTTCTATAATGGGGGGG